AATATGCCCAGATTCATCCTCTCCGTTTTTTTCGGTACTGCTGAACTCAACTGCAAGAAACAGATGACAAATTTTAAATCTCAGTTTAGTCCCGACTCTCAATCACCGAGCACTGAAACGACCACAAAATTCTGTACTTCCACCAGTAAGCTCGGTGTTTTAGTTTTGGTTTAGATGTGATTGAATTTCCATTAGCCTGAAACCAAAGAAGTAGGTAACTCCCATTAGAGGCAGTGTAGCCATACCAGACTTTAGGTAAATGGAATAATACCTTCACACCAGCACCTTTGTAGCAGCACCAGAATTCATAAAGCCAAAGCGCAGAAATGACTGCCTGTCCTGCAGGTATGGATCAGTCACATCAGGGACATACAGGGGAAATACAAGAAACTGCTCAACATGCTCCTGCGTATGGAGAACATCTGCGTTGAACACTTCTCAGGTAAGAGACACTGACTTGATGAAGTTTATGAAGAATTTTTGGTTATGGTTCAATGTAGACTTCAAGCTGGTACATAATTACAATTCAAGCAAAAACAAAAATCAACTTAAGGTCCTGAGAGAGCTTGTCAAAAAAAAAAAAAAAAAAAAAGATTCAGTATTCAAGAAATACCACAGACCTCTTTAGAGATACTTGTAAAAAGGTAGCTTATGGTGAACACAGAACAGCCTGGCTAGCATTCACCTTAAAACAATTAATGAGCAGATGAAAAAAACAAGACAATCTCTTGACTGAATCTGACTGAATCTAGACATTTCTATCATTCTGTAAAGTAGTAGTTAAATTTGGCTTTAAAATACTAATTCTTTTACTATTGCTTGCTTCTGTCAGCATTCCCTCAAAATCACCATCACTTTTTCTAATTACTCTGCAGTCTTCAAACAGATTTATTATGACATTTAGTCAACGCAAGCAATCAAAACATAATATACAGACATTATAACTTCTTTCATTTTCAAATCAATTAAATGTTTGTATGTATATTTAGAAAGAGAACATCTGCTTTTCAAGTACTTTAAGGTTCGGGTGCTTGTTTCCTATTTACAGAAAAATTGTTTAAAATTGATCTTTAATAAATTTCCAAGTAATTATCAGAATAAAACACTTACTTGCAGATGTAGTGCTAAATGAAATCCAAACACTGAGGAGAAAGCTGGTGTTTGGTTTTTTTTCCAGTCCTTTGCATAGAAAATTGTTTCTAAAGAAACTATACAAGCATTCAAAACAAAATTAAGCCATCCTATGTCATCCTGGCAACCAAGCAAAATTGGTCCAAACTGAAAAAAAGACACCAGCAAGCACTTCTATCCAAATCTGCATATATTTAAAAAAGCACATTAAACTAGGGGAAATAGGAGCTGACACTAAGCTTGGTTTACTCGCTAGAGTTTACATTTTGCAAAGGGAAACAAAAATGACTCCATTTCATTTTGCAGTGTTTTTTCTATATAACTGTCAGTGTTCACTCAAATTTCAGAGATGTAAGCAGTCACTGAGAGTCAGAAAAATGAAGAAACACTTGTCTGCAGAAATCCTAAGGGATCTGGGATTCTAGCCATTGTGTGCAAAATTTTAGAGAGTGTACATCTCCAAATCTGTAAGTCATCTTGTGGGACATGAGTAAGAGCTTAATTTAAAAAATGTTTGAAAAGAAAATATTTCAATGCACAAATGCATTTATTCCTGGTTTCTGAGACAGGTGAATTTCCTTCTGTCTTGATATTGTCATCTTTTATATCACTACTTCCCAGAGCCAGAGTATCTCCCTATTCCTTCTTTGCTAGTGTTTGACAGTACCCCAGAGGAGTGAAGTCCAACTCAAAAGAATCTGTGACATCTGCAGTTCCAAATACTCAAAAGGCAACAAAACAAGGAGCTGAGAGAATTTTCCTAAATTGAAGTGGCAGTTAAGTTTCAAAAAGGACTGTCAGAAAACACAGGAACATCTGCAATTATTCTCTGTTCCTGAAACATCCTGACTTATGTATAAGTCTCAACACTTAGAAAACACCGAACATCAAGGCATGCTTTAGTTCAGACTGTATGTATACCTCAGACAGTAGTGATTTTGTATTTTGCCTTCCATGAGTTTTTTATTCCTGCTTAGTAGAGCCATTAAACTACAGTGGACATGTTTTTCATTAATTTTTATAAAATAAAAAGTTGCTCAGAAACTACATCACTACCACTGAGTATTTTAGAATGTTTTCTGCACCAAATTATTTCAAATGACAGAACTCAAGAGGCGCTATAGGAACTTTTTTTTTTTTTTTTTTACTCTTATTTTTTTGGAAGCAAAACAATTGCAAATGAACTTTTCCTCCACAGACACCTCTAAGAATACTTAGTGCAACCACAGAATGAATACTTCTCTTTTTTTCTTTTTTCAACATTGGCTTTACTTCTCTTAACTGAAGCAGACAGTGTGCTGATAACTCATGGTAACACTGGGAGCAGCAGTGAAGAATAACAACTATTTCAAACAAAAATTGTAAAATGCTTTACCATCTTTAAAGTCTAATCTTCTTTCAACTTCATGCAACTCTAACAATAAAAATAAAACTGTGATCTATTTAACTCTGAGAACTCTTGCTGCAGTCTACAGCCTTATGAATGCAGCCCTGACGTGGGAAGCTAAATGCCTGATTTCCCACAATAATACCAGTGAGAGAGAACGTGCTGAGCAGCCCCATGTATCATCACAAGAATTCAATATCCAAGACATTTTCTGCTCCCTGTGTTTGAATTCAGAGAAAGATAAGGTTAGCAAAACACAGCAGAGATTACATGTCACTTTAAAGCATTCTCCTGTGTTAACTGCTTTTTGTTGTAAACTCTAAAGCACCAACATGTCTTCCCAGACTACACTGAGAAGCAGCAACTGAGCAGTTCAGTGATGAAGCACATGATAACTCAAGTGGGTGCTAGCTACAAGTGTCTGCAAGGATTCTGTATAATACATAAAATCAAGTCCAATGACTCCTAAAGCCAAGAGATGTTACCTCAGGAGGGTGAGATTGAGATCAAGAACTGAGCAAGTTCACACAGTTTTCAATATAATGTAAAGGATTCAGATCAAAAGCAAGCTAAGAAAATTTTAAATCATTTCAAGTAGCCAGTTCCTCATTCCTTCTTAGTGCCTTCTGCACTGCTAAATAAATATGATAAATAAATAGGATAAATATGAGGTACCTCAGCCAATCTGGTTGTAGGCACCCTAGTAGGACCTCAAGTCTGCGAAGCTGTAAGTCAGGATGGCAAATTAAAGTTCTCTTAGAAAACTGAGGGGCAGCCACTGACAAACAAGAACTTGTCTACCATTTTGGTCCTTCAAGAGTTTCTGGGCTCAAGCTTTCTAAGATTTGACTTTCTACAGTCTACCAGAAAACGTTACTGTCACCAAACAAGCAAAATGAGAGACGAGACAAAGGCATTCTAGGACCTAGAATCAACAGCCCATTCTAGCAGAAACAAGCAGCCTAGAAGCTGGCTGCAGTGACTGCCCTACCCGTTTAAAATCAGGGAACTGTGAACAGCCTGCTGCTGCTTCTTTCTTCCAGGCTGCTCCAGTGATGTAAATCACAGTGAAAAGTCTTCACAAGATCAAAATGGAAAGAAAAGGGATTTCAAATATTATGTTACTAAGCAGTAGCACAGTGTTTGAAAATAAAATGTAATTTATGTCTCAGCACAGATATGGAGTCTGTTAAGCTTGTCCTGGAAAGCATTTCTGGAGCACAAAGCAGAACAGAGTTTATTACAGAAATGATTAGCAACTAAACACATTTACTTCATGTGGGTTTTACAACCTAAACAACACCTACTGCATATGTATACCACTAAAGATTTTGGCTTGTCAAAACTGCAACACTGAAATACTATCAAGAGATGGAGTAAATACAATCTCAAACAACACATGGGTATGGATAAGATAATTTTTGCCTACTCAGTTATAAGCAGCTGGTACATTTAGCTATGTATTATTAGCTTACTAATGGGATCTCAGGAGTTAAGCTGTAACTTTCAAATCACAACACAGACAGCTGCCTGTCAGATTCATTTTAAAATACTGTGTCAGAACATGCCTGAGTGGAAACTAGTGATCTATTTAGCTCAATAGCATGTGTCTAAGAGTGGGAACATTTAGGAAAGCAGAAAGCTCAGGCATATCCCTGGGTCATTTCTTTGCAAGCACCCTTAGCACCAGAATCCAGTGCTCAGTAGCCTAGAAGCCAGTCTCCTCTTGTTCAAGACTGCCACATATGGGTAACAAGCAACTCAACAATGATTTTCTGTTCAAATACAAGTATTATTTTAATACAGAATATACACGTACATGAGACAATATCACACGCACACACAAAAGCTGAGTTCATAGGTTGCATAAAGATGAATTTAGATACCTCCATCTGTTGTAAGACTTGTACATGTTCAGAAATATACTAAGACCATACAAACCATAATTTAACATGCCTGCAACAATGTATTTTTGAGGAAGATTTTTGCTACTGGTGAGAACTTCAGCAGTAACAGGAAACAGGATGAAATTCTGAATGCTTCACAGCTAATTTTATACACTGGCTTGCAATATTTAGTCCCATTGCTCAGACTGGTTTTCACCACTGTAAATCTTTATTTTTAGCTGAGGACTTTATTTATTTTTGAAGATAATTTTATATAATGGTGCATTTCAAGAGAGCTGAATAATTCTAGCCATTCCAGATTAAGCTTGCAAGTTTTATGTTATGTCTTTAAACATTTAATTTAAACAATGACTCAGTGTTTAATAAAACAATGGTACTGCTTGCCTTAGTCTATATGTAATAAAAAAATGAAAAATTGAGAACGAAAAGAAATTCTCTACTGCTATATACAACATAATGAAAAGTTACTCAACTCCAGAAGACAAACCTTTAGTCCAAAAGCATTTATAGGCCCCATGGACCTATCTTCTTCTTAGAAATAACACCATTACACTGAAACAGCAGTTGCTCCTTACCTGAAAAGAGTTCATGCGCTGAAGTGAAGGGGGTAGAGAAGCAGTACTCAAACTGAGCATCAGAAGTAATTCCAGACATGTTTCTGATGGAAACTTTAAAGGATGAACTCCAAAATCATTTTCCCAAGCATCAGCAAGGCTAAAAAGTTAAAAATAAAGTAAAATGAAATAATTCATAAATTAAAAAAAAAAATTAAACACATACTAGAATATGGCACAGAGTTGTGATGAAAGATCATCCTCACTTATCACTCCTATAGATGAAGGTAACGGTTTTAACAGAAATCTGGGGTGCATTTAAAGAACTTCATGCTTACCATCAATTTTACAAAGAGGTGCACAGTGTGAAAAGAAAACTTAGCACACATTAGAAGAATGCTCTCATATTTCTTAATCCAAGTTTGAATATTTCTGAACCAATTCTCAACTACCATTTCCAAGCATATGTTTTTACACATAGAGCATCCTAACTAGAGCATAATGCCTCCACTTTCTGCTTCTATTCAAATCAGTTTTTTCACTTCTGAAATCACCAAAGGCCAGACGATTTCTAAAACTGATGTTAGGATGCTCTCACTGGAATTCTACCAACAGTCAACAACTGTCGTGGGTTGATGCTTACTAACCATAACAGACAAACATACTGTGTCTTTCTCAACCCAAAGCTAGAGCAAGCAGGTCACTTTGACACAGGAATTCTAAGCCACATAGGGAAATGAAAAGGGTGCTTGGGCTAGGCACCCTCTGGCAGTCTGGATGGCACTGCATCACTCAAGGTCTTCATAAATGGCTAAGACCAAATCAAAGCACAGAGTCTAAAACCTTCTGCATAGCAACAGTCCTCATAAATTACTTCATACACTTTCACTTTTGCCAGACAAGTCTACAAAAGCCTGTTTTAAGCTACTACAAATAGTATTTGCTAGGGCAGGAAAGCAAACAGTTCAGAAGACACCCTGGAGTCTTTAAAGGTGTGAGCAGCTAAGTCCCCAAATACAGTGTCCATATTAAAAGGATTCTGTAAAAATAGTCAGTGAATGGTCAAGCTCAAGAGAGGCAACTCTGACTGGTCCAGAGATTCTGCCAATGTTGCAGGGGAAAACATCTAGCTCTACATCACGGGCACTGAGCTGCCAGCAACCAAGGAGTGAGTTTCATTATCTTTTGTAACTTCTTTTCCAAACATAATTAGAAATTTACCTTGGTAATCCCTACTGTGTCTTTGTTCTACATTTTTGACAAGCTTGTCTGGTGATACAGGCAAATCTAGGTAAATCTTGCAAAACAGAGGCTTCAAGTTTTTCACAAATCAGCAAGTCTAAACAAAGCAGCGTGCAGGCACCTTCAAATACAGTTAAGAGTGTTTGGAGACTGGAGGTGACATTATGATACGGTACTGGGGCTCAGAAAGGTGTTTCCACAGATCAATGCACTCTCTGCAAAGATACTTTTCAGAAGTTCAAGACATACTGAAAACATTACAACCTAATTCACTACCCTGATTCTATTTTTATTTTTTTTTTACTTGAGAATTTTTTTGGAGCTGCCTCCTCATACTGAAGTGTGACTCGTACAGCATTGATACTGCATTAGGGCATTCTGACTCTGTTGACTTATCTGAGGGAAGGACTGTTGCTATAAAAACATCTAGCCCAATTAGACTGTAATTTCTGTTTATTAATAGCTCAATTATGAGCGTTTCCTGAAATGATTCCAATGTGTTCCTTTATTACAAACAAACCACATGTGTCCTAGCACTTATGGCTCCAGGAACACTCATGTTATGAAACAGTCTTTACGACTTGTCCTTTAGCAGCATCTAACACATGAGTCCGTGGTAAGTTTGTGCTTTGTTAGGCCATGTCTCTTTGTTTTTCTTTACCCCTATGATTCATGGGAGTATTTTTCTACAATCTGCAGAGGATGGAGAAAAATGTCTACTTAAAACAAAAACAAACCCTATTTTTTAATGCTAGCTGTAGGGAATCCTTCTGTACAAAGAAGATTGTTTCTCTTCCAGTACAGGAGAAACTACCTGCTTTCTATTTACTGAATGAGCCACACTGGTTAACTCTGCTTCTCAGAAGAGCGAGCACCCATGGAGGACAGCTCTTACCAGACCAACCCCAAACACCAACAGTTTGAGTTTGCTGAAAGTTCCTTAGCCATGGATCCAAAACTGTGTTTTGGTCTCCTGATTTTAGAAACAGAGTAATAGATTTTGACATTAAGATCAGACTAATTGTCAGAGAGAGTTTTGGAGAGGGCTAAGGGCAAAGATGAAGACATAAGGATTCAGACGGGCTCATGTTAACTTTGGATACAGATGGGACTGAGTATGCATATGCTTTCTTTCCTTCCTTCCTTCCATCTTTACTCAGCTGTGAATTCTTGCTTCTAAGCTCCTCATGAGAGAAAGCAGGCTGGGCCAAACACATACCTTCAGGGAGAATTTTTTCTCCCACAGAACATTAAATCCACCTCTATAAGTGACCTCTCAGACACAAAAATCCCTGTCCCTGTTCATTGCAGGGGTGTTGGACTAGATGATATTCAAAGGTCCCTTCCATCTCAAATGAAATCTATGAAAAAGGGGAAGATCAGAGCTCTTCCCAGTGTAAATTCAAACTTGAGATGCTGCCCTTGCAGATTAAAATAACATCTCAAACTCGCTCTGTTTCAACTACAAGACATGCTTTAATCTAGTCTATGAAAAGACAATAAACAGGCATAACATTAAAGCATGTAAGATCTTCACGTAAACTTCATTTAAACATGATCAATGCTAATCAAAGCGCTTAATATGCTTCAAGCAGACATTTCAGAACTGAAAGTAGCATAGAAATCAAACAGAATAAAATTCTACTTAAGGGGTAACCTACGGAGCTACTATGCTAATATGAGACCATGATGTCATCAGTCAAAGCAATACAGCCAGGAAAATAGAACTCCTATAGCAGTATGAGCAAGACATTAAAAAAAAAAGTCAAAGTATTTTCAAAGCTGTTTAGGTGTTAAATGTGGGCCTCTCTTCAGAAAAAAAAAAAAGCAAATCTTTTCTGAAACTCAAACAACTAATTCTGAAAGCAGAGATGAGCAAAACTTGAGAATGTTTGTTCAGATGAGACTACAGATAAGACTAAAGATAAACCAGTTACTTCTCCAACAGAAGTAATTGATCACAATGTTTTCAGATGCATAAATTTGATTCATCAGGTATTTCTCCAGTCATCATTACAGAATTGCTCCATGCCTACATAAGACAGAATAAGATGAGAAAATAATGTCCTTAGAAGCAATGTTTACAAGACCAAAATAATGAATTACATTTCTTTTACAATTCCTTGACTCTAAGTTCTAGCAAACAAACCCAGTTACCATTCAGGTCATGGATTCAGGGTATGGTACACCAGTAAAACAAGAAAAATCTTGATACGTATTTAAAAGTCATTAGAAAAATGACTGAAATCTAAGATTTTGGAATCTACGTTTTTTTGAAAAAACTGGACAAAATGTCTCACTAGATTGCTTTTTTTTTTTTTCCAGAAGAAGCTGAGCTGCTTCTTCTTTCATTAATGCCAAGGTCATTAATCAAAAGTAATCATCTTCTACTGTGCACTTCATTCACTTCAAAATGCACCCGTCTTAGCAAAATACAAAACAGTTTGCTTTTGAAGAGGAACAGGCAAGTCCTTTTTCACTTTCTAGAGCAACCTTATCCCCATCTCTTACTTAGCAAGCTACTTTTCTTAATATATTAACTTTGGGTAGTCTACAAAGATCAAAAATGGAAAACAAAAAATCTCTTACTCAAAGAACTACTCCATGTTACTGCCAAAGCACTGGGCTAATTTCACTTGATTATTTACAATCTAAGTAAATATGCTCTACGGTTAGGGCTCCAAATACTGTGAAACACCTGAAGGAGATGACTGGAAGGTAGCTATGGCTTCAGTGTTCTGTTAAATAAAAGCCACGCTGAAGAATGTAATATAAAAGCTGACAGAGGCTCAGTCCTGACTCTCAGGATTCACTGAATGTTGTTAAATGTTTCACTTTCCAAAAGCAGCAGTTCTGATATAAATGACAGATGACTTTATTGAACCCAAGGAAAAACTTGCTAAATTAAATAACCATTTGTAAAAATGATTTAATCTAAAAACAATTCTAAATTACAGTTGATGATGTGTCTATATACTTAATATACCGGGAGGCTAAGTTATTTATACTTCTAATTATCCTTGCAATGATCTAAAAATTACAAAAATCAATGCATGCTCATTAGCTTCTAAGCTCTTGCCAAAATTTAAATAATACAGAACAGTAAGAAGTGAAGTACTTTCAAAGCCTACAATACATTCCTTTGGAAAAAACTTTCTTTACAGAACCAAGGCACTGTTTTCCTCTTAAAACAACATCTGCAGTCCTGTTCAAATGTGGTTTACTTTTCTCCTTCAGCAGCTGAGAGTGTCAAGTGATTTTTCGAGCAGACCTTCCCTAGGATCTTCACTAGTTGTATGGCATCCCAAATTAACAGATATTAAATCTCTTGAAAGTGACAAGGCAACAATAAAAATGTAACCCAGTGGTATCCTTACATGGGGATGAGCAAGAGCAGTGGAACATATCAAGGGGAGTAAGAAGACATACAGCAATAATCCAGGAACCCACTCGAGGAGCTTTTTTTTTTATTTAGTGCAATGGACAACAGTGGCCAATAAAAAAAATCATTCTAACTCCACTTCTAAGCTGTGAGCCTTTTTTTTTTTCAGTGCATCATCATATAGAAAGAACAGTTTAACACTGAACTTCTGTAGTTCCAAACAGTCTTACACGCTCTCCTGTAAAGGAGTCTTACCATAAAATTTCTGACACTTACATCACATATGTGTTTACATTAATATATAATAACATACAAATAATTTATGTAATTTTATATAAAATGAATATAGAGTAATATAAAGGATGCATATAACATGTGATTACACAACCATTAATAAGATTCTCCTGGCTTTATTCTATTAAACCGAGCAACCATGTATTTCTGGAGGTGGATAAGAAAGTTAGATAGAAATCCACAATAAAAAAAGAGGTTTAAATCATCCTATCCTACAAAACATGAGCCCTCCTTAAACATAC